AGCCAGACACCAGTGCCCAGACCGGATTTACAGCAAATACTCCTGGTGGAAACTGGGAATCATCCCTGCGGGGCAGCATTCCCGGGATTTCACAGAGAAACTCCCTCTGAAAACATTCCCAGGGACCCTCCAAGGGGAAAATATGGAATCACTTACTGTATGGTGCAGGGCAGGCGGGAGAGCTGCTGCCGTTGGACGAAGGTGTTGGATTTCCAGGGATCTGCAGCGCGGGACTGGGGACAGAGTTCATTGCACAGGGACAGCCCTGCAGAGCCTCCCAGGCTGCTCCTGTTTCTCCATCAGGATCTGCCTGCCCTGGGACACCCCCCTGGGACACAGCCCATGGTGGGACACAGCCTGTCCTGGGACACAGCCCGTCCTGCCCAGCCTTGCTGCTGCCATGTGGGGTTTGTTGTCAGCAACAGGGAGGCTGCAGAGGCTCCACGCACAGGGAGTGTGTTCCAGGTTTGCCAGGGAATCCCTGAGCTCAGACTCTTCCCTGCACCGTTTAGGGGGATGAAGGGATCAGCAGCAGCCCCCGTGTCCTGCTGATCCCTGGGGCACTTTGATCCCCACAGCCCTAAATCCCAACTTCAGTCCCATCAGCTGCTGTTTTTCACCCCCCTGCCCCTCAGTGACCCACCTGCAGACTCTTCTTCATCCCATGGGGCTCCTTCCTTCCCTGATTTAAGTAGCTGTGGGAACAAGACAAGGGTGTTTCCCCACCCCACCCCAGCCATGGCTGCCTAAAGCTGCTCCCAAAGCTCCCTCTACTCACTCCAGCTTTTGGAGCCTCTCTGACCCCGCTGCCACGTACTGGCCCCCGTCCCGCAGGTCCCCCAGCCCCGCGACACCGTGGCCATGCTGGGGGGTGTAGAGGTTCCTCACGGCCAGGGGGGTGTGGAGGGCCTTGGTCACCTCGTCCAGAAAGGCCTCGAAGGTCGGGAAGCGCCGGGGGGTCACCAGGAATCTCCTCCCCGGGAAGAAACGGTCCCCGTTGCGATAGATCAGCACGGTCCTGGCTGGGCCTTGGGGGCTCATCCCAGTGGGACACACTGGTCACAGGGGATGTGGCGAGTGCACAAGCCTCCTGCTGAGCCCAAACCCTTCCAAATCACACCCCCCCAGAGTCCAAACCCTTCCAACAAGCCTTCCACTGAGCCCAGACCTTTCTGACCAGCCTAAATCCTTCCAGCCATCTCCCCAGAGTCCAAACCCTTCCAACCAGCCTCCTGCAAAGCCCAAAGCAAACCCTCCCAACCAGCCCAAAGCCTTCCAACCAGCCTCCTGCTGAGCCCAAACCCTTCTGACCAGCCTCCCACTGAGCTTAAACCTCCCCAGGCAGCCCCCCAGATCCCAAACCCTTCTGACCAGCCGCTCTGGGCTCTGCTGTCCCGCCCCTTCCCAGCCCAGCCTGGTGTGACAGAGCATCTCCATGGATGCAAACCCAGCAGGAGGGAGCCGTGGGAGGCCACACCAAACGCCTGCAGAGCATTTTCTGCCTGAGAACCAGGAACCACAAGGCTCTTCAATCCTCAGCCACCACTACAGGGGCCCAATATTGGAGCTACCAGGTTCTGACTGGGATTTATGGATCAGGATCTTCCTGTCCCACCCACAGCAGCGCTGCCCAGGGGCTGTCACCCCCCTGACATCACTTGTTCCCCTCAGGAGAAGTGCAAAGGATCCTGTCCTGGATCAGATGAGCACCCACATCCCAGTGGGCACTTTGTCCCAAATGGATTCCATGGGCCAAAACAGGACTTGGCTCTGCCCAGGAGAAGGCAGGAAGCCAGACAGGAACAGATCCAAAGAGGAGCATTAGGAAAGCTTTTTATTCACAAACAAGTGGGGATCTATTCTGGAACAGAGGGATCCATCTGCCACCTGGCAACAGAGGCTGTTCAGGCAGCAGGAATGCAGAGGAGGAATCACGGGGGGGAACCACAGCACCACATGGAAAGTCCCTTTTCCAGGGACTTGGAATGTTCCTGAGCTACAGGAACAGATAGAGCACTTCCCAACCTCCCTGAGGCACTGGTCCAGTGTTCCCAAAATCCACGGCGGGCACTTGGAGATCCTGGATATTGCAGAGGTGTGAAGTGCAGAGCCCTCCCAAACACACAGCTCAGATTCCCACACAGTTCAGAGGGGAACAGGCTGTTCCTGCAGGTCCCAGCACCTGCTGCCTTCAGGCATTTCAGTCCAAAAGCACCTTCTGTAAGTGAAAAATCTTCCCATCCTCCATTTCCCCCCCCTGGATCACCCAGCTCAGCCAACAGGAATGGGGTCCTTGTGGAAGGATCCTCACTGGGAATTCCTCCAGCACACACCACAACCTCCCTGGCTCCACAGTGTTTAATCCTGCTCTGACCAAACATTCACACCTACAAGAACTAAGAGGCTTTCTTGCCACATTCTGCTGAAGTTAAAACCATCAACCCACGGAGCTGGAGCTCCCCTGAGGTCACCCGTGGTGCTGCAGCTCCACGGCCTCCCCACACCAATCCAGGGGGTTGGGAATGCCTTCCAAGGACTCAGGAATCCCCAGCTTCCGCTTCAGCATCAAGAACTGGAAGAGGAAGAAAACCAAACACTGATGATTAAATCTCAGAGACCCAGGGGCAGATCAAACAGCAAAACCCCTGTCCCCACCCAGCCCAATCCCTGGATAATGGGATTGTCCCCACCCAGCCCAATCCCTGGATAATGGGATTGTCCCCAGCCAGCCCCACTTTTGGGGGGGGCTGCCCCTGCTGTTTGGGAAGAGGCAGGCCCAGGCCCTCACGTTTTTCCTGCTGGCAATGGCCTGTTGCAGCCACATGAGCTCCATGAGCAGGTGGGTCCTGTAGGCCTGGAGCCCGGAGCGGGTCTGGGGAAGGTCCCCCAGAGGGATTTCTGCAAAGAAACGGAACAACAGCCCAGGGTGAGGACAGAGATCCGGCCTGTGGGAGCTCCTTCCAGCCTCTCCAAGGCACTCTCAAGGCTGTGGCTCCCCTGTGGGCCCCCCCTGTGCCCCCTCACCCGGGTGGGCTCCGAGGGTCTCTGTGCCCAGGTCAGAGCTGTCCCACACCGAGGTCTCGCCGCTGTCGTTGTCCCACTCCTCGCTCTCCTTTTCCGTGCCTTTGTCACCCTCAACCCCCACATTTGGGGGGCTCAGGGTGTTCTCTGGGCCCGTGGGGGTCGGGGCTGTCCTGCCCTGCAGGGGGGCTGGGGGGGTCCCATCTGGTTCAGGGGGTTCAGGCTCCTCCAGAGGGTTTTTGGTGCTGGTCTCCTGGGGCTCCAAGGGCTGCCCTGGCGTGGGCTGCCAGAGGGGAGGGATGGAAATGGGGAAGGGGGGGAGGAGATATGATATAGGGGAGGGAAAAGGGGAAAGAAGGAAAAAAAAATATGAGGAGAACGTAAAGAAAATATATGGAAAATAAGTACAAGAAAAATAAATATAAGGAAAATACGAAGAAAAATATGAAGGAAACAAATAGGAAGGGATAAATAGGAAGGGATAAATAGGAAGGGATAAATAGGAAGGGATAAATAGGAAGGGATAAATAGGAAGGGATAAATAGGAAGGGATAAATATGAGGAAAATAAGTACGAGAAAAATAAATATAAGGAAAATATAAAGAAAAACAGAAAGGAAATAAATAGGAAGGAAATAAATAGAAAAGAAAGTAGAAAATAGAAAATGTTATAAAATATAAAAATATGTAAAAGAAAATATAAAAAATTATAAAAGGAAATAGAAAAATATATAAAGGAAAATATAGAAATATATAAAAATATAAAAATATATAAAAAGAAAATAGAAAAATATATAAAAGAAAATATAAATATTTATGAAAGAAAACATGTAAAAGAAAACACAGAGATCTGAGACATGGCCCTGCTGCTGCTGGCAGAGCTCCTGCCCTGACATGATGTACTCTGGTCTGGTTTGAGCCATCCCAAACTTTCTGAAGGGCCAGAGGAGGGGGGAGCAGGGCAGGGGGGAGCCCAGAGGACCCCCCAGTGCAGGTCGGGCACTGCCCCAGGGCCGGGGCACCCTCGTTGTGCCCCCAGGGACACAAAGCCAGCCCAGGATCACCGGGCAGAGCTGCCACTGCCACTGCCAACTGAGTGGCTTTTCCTGGCAGGGTCGCAGAGCCCCGGGCACACCCCGCAGGACCATCATCCCCCCGGGCAGGACCCCACCTGGGCGGGCCCGCGGGGGTCGGGGCCGAAGCTCGGCCGCAGCAGGAACTGCCCCGCCCAGCGCAGCTCCCGCAGGTCCCCGTCGATCTCCAGCACGGCCGCCTCGAAATCCTCCCGCGCCCGCCGGAGCCGCCGCCGCAGCAGGAACCCCCTGGCACAGGCCTGCGGAGCCGCTGGAGCTGGGAGAGCCCCCTCGGGCCCCAGAGAGCCCCCCAAACACCTCCCCCCCGCCGGTTTAATGAGGCACCGGCACCCAGCTGGGACCCCCTGTGCCTGACCCCCCCAGAGTCCCCTCTGACTCCCCCAGGGACTCCTCAGACCCCACCAGGGACCCTCTGACCCCACAATGACCCCTCAGACCCCCCCAGGGGCCTCTCTGACCCCACAGGGACCCCTCTGACCCCCCACAGGGGCCTCTCTGACCCCACAGGGACCCCTCTGACCCCCCCCAGGGG